AAAAAAGACAAAGCTCCAATCGCTGGCGCTAATCGATCAGACGCACAATTAAAAACCAGCTTTTTTTGTCATTGCCAGTCACGCACAGAGCAATGGCCAAGGCGCAGAGACAGTGCTTTGAACCTGGAATTGAAATAAACGTGTTTACAAGGCATGGTCCGCTTTAACCTTACTTTAAACGACATCCACGAACCAATACCAACATATAATCGCGATTTATGCGCCTTTATGCCCGCCTCCATACTAGCTAATCCATCTCAATCTGATAGCTTGGATGTCTAATTCGCAAGCCACGCTTCTACTGGTGCCCACCACTTGCTCTTGCTTCTGCATGTGCAAAAATATGCATACTAGACAAGCACAGCCACAATCACGCACTGACATGCTTCTAGCTACACGAGTAAGAGTCCATATTGCCATCTGTAGCTACTCAATCAAGCGCGCTTGCTAATTTCAATCGTTCAGACAAAGTAATTGCTATGAGCGTTGTAAATGGTCGTGTCTCGGCGGCCTAAAGGAGGCATACTCAGTACATGCTGCTTAAGGGCCTTTGAATTAATATTAAAGTTAGTAGGCAGGGGACTAGCCAAATTTCAAAGAGAACCAATAAAATACTATAAAAAAAGTCTGCACAGCTACGATCAGCAAAAAACGAAGGTCCTACCGAGATTCGAACTCGGGTTGACAGGATCAAAACCTGTAGTCGTAAACCGCTTGACCATAGGACCCTTTCAATTTTTGTCTCCATTTTTGAGCCAACTCGGAGACATTTGTGACTAGTTCTTTCAGCACATCCACTATATGCTTGTGTTGGTTTTTGTAGAGATAGGCGCTTTTGGCATGTGCGTCCGCGACGGAGATGGCGAAGGGATGGTCGCTGTGCAAGCAGTACATTCGCGAGTTTGCAACTCGCTTTGGAATGGCACTGGCGAACCGAACGAACCTGCTGATGGACACCAACGTTAAAAAGTTACGACAACTGGAGCGCGAGCTCTCCAACGACATGACGCTAGCGAGACAGGAGACATGGCTGAGCGAGACGGTTGCGCTTCAGACAGCAATCTCTGCCCGAGCCACACGAGTATTGGAGGGACGCCGTGTACGGGCTCGAGCTCGCTGGTGCGAACAGGGAGAGCGATCAACGCGATACTATTTCAGCTGCCTCAAAGCCCGAGACGCGGCCACGTATGCCAGCGAGCTGCTCGCAGCAGATGGGCAACCCGTCTCAACGCCAGATGGTATCAAGGCACGCCTGAAGGAGTTCTACTCTGCGCTCTTTGCGCGAGGAGACACGGACCAGGCGGCACAGGATACCCTGCTGGCGGAATGGCAAGCGCGATTGACTCCGCAGCAACAAGCCCTCCTCGACGCGAACTTCACCGCGACCGAGATTGCAGCGGCTATGAAAAACACACCCGATTTCAAAGCTCCGGGCCCTGACAGCCTGACGTACGAGTTCTACAATCATTGGCAGAGAAAGACGGCCGACATCCTCGCCAAGGTCGCCAACCAGTGCTGGGAAGCGGGGACGGTGCCTGCCTCGTGGAGAAAGACGACCATCGTTCTTATCCCGAAGAAAGGCGACCTCCGTGACCTAAGCAACTGGCGGCCCATCTCCCTGTCAAACTGCGACACCAAAATCATCACGCAAGCCCTCACGGCTCGACTGCAACAGGCTATCGGTCTCCTGATCGACCCACAGCAGACGGGATTCGTCAAGGGCCGCAACATCTTCGACAACATCCACACAATCCATCTCGCGATCCAATGCGGCCAGCTAGACCCCGATGGCCTGGCCGGCGCCCTGCTGATCGAGCATCAGCGCAAGGCATACGACCGAGTGGACTGGGAATACCTCGACCGCTGCATGGCCCACTGCGGCATCGGAGAAAGGTACCGTCGTCTTGTCCTATCAATTTACGAGGGGAGTACAGCAGACATCAGGTTTAGCTCGTGGACTGCAACTGGCATTCCCATTTGCCAAGGACTCCGTCAAGAGGACCCGCTGTCACCGCTGCTGTATAACCTCGTCGCCGAACCCCTGCTATGTTACTTCCGAAAACGCCTCACGGGCATTAATTTGCCAGGCTACAACCTCCGGGCGATAGCCTTCGCGGACGACATCGCTGTCGCGCTGTCCTCCTCCACCGACGTGGGGGTTTTCCATATTGCGACCGACCTGCACAGCCGCGCATCCAATGCAAGGCTGAACGATGATAAAACGGAGATGCTACGCATTGGCCGACCATCGTTCACGCTGCCATGCGCAATCCTACCGAACAATACTGCACTGCGATACTTGGGAATTAGATTCACCGAGAAGGGCGTCGCCACCATCCAAATCGAGGGCCTGCTGATCGCAGAGATCCAGGCCCAGATCCACCGCTGGCGCGACCGGCAGATATCTCTGCAAGGCCGCGTGCTCCTAGTGAACTCGGTCCTCATGGCGAAGCTCTGGTATGCCGCGCGCATCGTCCCCTTCACGGATTCGTTCTACAAGCAAGTGCACACAGATGTACGTCAGTTCATATGGAAGTCGAAGCGCTCCAAGGTCAGCTGGACAATAGCCACATTGCCTAAAAAGCAAGGTGGTCTTGGGCTGCTGAACCTAGAGAGCCAGTCGACTGGTATCTTTGCTCA